TGCTGCTGCTGCTGCTGCTGCTGCTGCTGCTGTTGCTGTTTCTGCTGCTGTTGCTGTTCTTGCTGCTGCTGCTGTTGCTGCTGCTGCTGCTGCTGCTGCTGCTGCTTCAGTCTAGCCACGCTCCACATAAGGACAATTAGCTGCTGCAGCGAGAACGAGCGAAAGCTCTTAAGCTTCAACAGCTGCAACAACGCAGAAACCCTAAACCCTAAACCCTAAACCCTAAGTGATAAATATATAGCCCTGAGCGCTAAACCCTAAACCCTAAACCCTAAACCCTCACTCCTCACCCCTCCGCAGGACCACGTAAGAAGACACCATTACCTCTCAGCCGCTCTGAAGCCACAGCTCTCTCATCTAGGGTTTAGGGTTTAGGGTTTAGGGTTTAGGGTTTAGGGTTTTGTTACTGACTTGGTTTTCTAGTGTTTTAAAGAGGTGGTGTTTGTCTCTCCATTTGGTGCGGCTCAGCACCAAGCAGCCAATGCAGAGTCCCTGCGGCTGCAGGTGCTGCTGCTGCTTCTGCAGCGCAGCAGCAAGGCTGTCTAGTGTTGCCCCCAACAGCTGCAGCAGCTGCTGCTGCTGCTGCTGCTGCTGTTGCTGCTGCAGCAGCTGTTGTTGCTGCTGCTGGTACTCTATAGAATACGAANAATCAACGCCTGCAACAAACACACAGCAGCAGCAAAAGGTGCAGCAGCTGCATGAGGGGCAGCAGCAGCAACTGCAGCACCAACTGCTGCTGCTACTCCTACTAGTCTTGCTCGCACCACTCCTGCTGCCGCTGCTGCTGCTGCTGCTGCTGCTGCTGCTGCTGCTGCGACGCACCTGCGGGTCAAAGGTATGGGCCTTGGCGATTATCTGTGCTGCAGCACCAGCCATAAAGGCGGCCTTGCTGGCAGCAATGCTGCTGCTTATCGTGCTGCTGCTGCTGCTGCTGCTGCTGCTGCTGCTGCTGCTGCTGCTGCTGCTGCTGCTGCTGCTGTTGATGCTGGATGCTAGGTGAGTTAGAGCAAGAGCTGCAGTGCTGATGCTGCGGCCCTTCATTGCAGCAGCGAGAGCAGCAGCTCTCTCAGCCAGCAGCGACAACAAACACTGCCTGCTGCCTGCTGCTGCTGCTGCTGCTGCTGCTGCAGGAACTGCTGCTGCTGCTGCTGCTGCTGCTGGTTCTAATGCTGCTGCTGCTGTTGGTGTCGTCGTTGCTGTTGCTGCGCCTGTTGCTGGTTCCGGCTCTGTTGCTTCTGCTGCTGTTGCTGCTGCTGTTTGTGTTGCTGCTGCTGTTTCTGTTGCTGCTGCTGTTTCTGTTGCTGCTGTATCTGTTGCTGCTGTCTCTGTTGCTGCTGCAGCTATCTCGGTTTCTGCTTTTGCTGCTGCTGCTTCCGTTTCTGCTGCTGTTGTTGTTGCTGTTGCTGCTGCTGCTGCTTCTGTTTCTGCTGCTGCTGCTGCTGCTGCTGCTGCTGCTGCTACAGCCCGTCTGTCTTTAGCCCTGGCGAAGGAATATAACAAACTCGCCACCTCCTGAAAAACCACCAAATTAGGGTTTAGGGTTTAGGGTTTAGGGTTTAGGGTTTAGGAGAGCAGAAGAACAAGCAGCCTCACCGTAGCCTTCGAGTGTACTGTTTTCCTTTATATGCCACTGCAGGGTTTAGGGTTTAGGGTTTAGGGTTTAGGGTTTAGGGTTTAGGGTTTACATGGGGGTTAAAGAGATGCAGTTTTTGCCGCAGAGCAGCAGCAAGAGAAACCCAAAACCCTTCCGTTGCCTTCGCCTTAGTAAACCCCCACAGCAGCAAACACAAACCGCTGCAACGCAGCTGCTGCAGCGCCAGCAGCTGCTGCTGCTGCTGCTGCTGCTGCTGCTGCTGCTGGCCGTGCTGCTGCTCCTGATGCGGCTGCAGGAGACGGGACTCGACTTGGCTGAAGCAACACAAATCAAACTCCCTA